TATGTGTATTAGATGGCACCCTTGTGGTATTGGTCCTAGGTTCACCACTTAAAAAGAAACAGAGGAGGGCGTTGGATGGTGGCAAGTACCTGGAACCTAGCACTGAGGTGAAGGCAGGAGGAGGCTGAGAATTAAAGGGGGAGGAGGGTGGGTGAAAAGGGGAGAGGGGGGAAGCTTTCAATCCTGGTGGGAGGCAGAGCAGGTGGGGCTCTGAGGCCAGCCTGGTCTACAGAGTGAGTTCCAGGGCAACCAGGGCTACAGAGAAATACTGTCTGCAAACAAACAAACAAACAAACAAACAACAAAGAACTGAAGGACATCCTTTTCCATAAATAGACAGTCCCAGATTCTAGGCCAATATGAGCTATATGAAACCCTACCTCAAAAAAAAAAAAAAAAAAAAAAGAGGGAGGGGTTTCATAAAAGAAATGGGGTTAGAATTTAGGAGAGACCTTGTCCCAGAAAGGGGTGAGGAGTGAGTGACTGAGGAAGAGGGCGCACTTATACACGCACCCACAAGACTGAGGAGCTGATGGGTATCCGTGGTAGAGCGCAAGCTTAGTGTACCTGAAGCAGTGACTACAATCCGCATCATCAAGAAGAAAGGAGTGATTGCACCATTGAGTTAACAATGGACAAAAATAGCATTTGTGCTGAAAGACTATTAATGAACAAACACGTCTATAGAAATAGGCAAGTCACTTCATCTCAAGGGACACTTCATTTCAATGCAATAATAGACCCCTGCCTCAGGGTCACTGAAGGGAGCTGACTCACAGCAGAATATGGCACTAGAGGGTGGTGAATCTCACTGATGCCGTCTGTTACCAGTGAATAAGTAAGGGTTTCATTTTTTGTTTGTTTGTTTGCTTGCTTATTTGTTTTTGAGACAATGTCTCACCTTATAGTTCAGACTGGCCTGGAACTTACTCCATAATCTAGGCTAGGCTCAAACTCCTGAAAATCCTCCTGTCTCAAATTCCTGAATGCTGGAATTACAGGCATGGGTTATCGCACCAGCTAGAAATTTTATAAATACCACAATAAGCAGACTTTTTTTTCTAGTAAAAGATTGAGGACAAGACAAGAATAAATAAATACAAATCTAGATAGCATTAAGTGTTTGCTGATTAGAAAAGCAAAAAGACTTCCTGAAAATAACAAAATGCTAGAAGATATTACTTCAGGTTGCCCTCTTGTCACTGAAGATTTATAAGATTAAGAAAATAGGGTGAGTTTTGATCTACCTGGGATGATTTAGGTGGGATATTGACTGAAGTTGCAGGATAAACCCAAGGTCTTTTCAAGGTCTCTTCCCGTCCAAAGACTCTAAGATTAACCAGAAAAAAATGAATTATGTACAACCTACTCATCCAAACCTAAAAATATTATAAATATGTTTTATTCTTAGCAAATAAGATAATAACCAAAATAAAAGTTAGGTTCCATTGACAGCTGAGTATGGTAGCCAGTGCCTATAATCCTAGCACTCAAACACTAGGCAGGAAGACTGCCACAACTTTAGGGTAGGCTAGACTACACAGTAGGTTTCAACAGTTTGTATGCAGTGTGAGCTTGTATCTCAAAACAAAAACAGAAAACTAGAGACAAGCCAGGTGTGGTAGAGATCACCCTTACTCCCAGCACAGGAGAGGCAGAAAGTAGTCACCAGCCTGGTCTATCTAGTAAGTTCCAGCCAGAACTTCAAAACAAAACATTTCTACTTGATGAACAAAAGAAAACACAGCTTAAATTTAACATTGGACTCCTTAATGATAAGATCATCCATTTTCAGAAGGCATGGTGACCCAAGCCTTTAATTCCAGCATAATGGAAACAGATGGAGGTCGATCTCTGTGAGTTAAGGCCAGTCTGGTGAACATAGCAAGTTCCAGTCCAGCCAGGGCTACATAGTGAGACCAATGTCTCATAAACAGAAAAGATCAAAGCCAGCAGTGGTAGTGCACACCTTTAATCCCAACACTCAGGAGGAAGAGGCAGGTGGATGTCTGTGAGTTCCAGGCCACCCTGATCTACAGAGTGAGTTCCACAACACTTGCAACCTCTACAAGACTTCAAGGGGAGAAGGTATCATTGTGTATCTGAATGTACACCAATGAAATAATCTCAAAACTGGAAAGATGGCTCGGTGGTTAAGAGCACTGACTGATCTTCCCAGAAGTCCCAGGTTAGATACTCAAAACCCACACACAGCTCACAACTGTCTGTAACCCCAGTTCCTGGGGATCTGATTCCCTCTTCTGCAGTGCCCCTCTGCAGGCACCAGGCATGCATGTGGTATATAGACAACGTGCATGCAAACAAAGCACCCATTCACATAAAATTAAACTTTAAAAAGATTCTCAACAACAGTTTGCATCCTCTGTCCTCCTGAAAGGAGGCTACACACTATCTTTCACATTAGTAAATGCAAAGGAAAACACTCAATATTCTTAGCTAAATGCAAACACTTTAGAATGAAAATCATTAAAACACACTACCAAGAAAGAATAACCTTAGTTTTGTCCCAAATTCTAATCTTCCTTTTAATTTCCAAAATGGTCTTACAGGACCAGGAAGATGGCTTGAGGACAAGCCTGACAATCTGAGTTCAATCCCCAGTACCCCCATGATGGAAAGAGAAAACCAACTTCCGCAAGTTGTCTCCCACCTCCACATGTGCTCCAAACACATACAAATAAATACATGTAAATAGTTTCATTAAAAATAGATCTTACAAATCAAAAGGTTCTAAAGAATATCAATGTGTCCTTCCTATTCACAATCATGAAATAAAGCAGGCAGAGGAACTGCAATCTTACCTTACAGATTTTTTTTCATAAAAGGTACTCATAAATGCATTATGTAATCTAAAAGATGAGTCCATGGCTCTAAAACTCTCCACAACTCTACACTCCCAACATTCTTTCTTACAGTCTGCAAAACTGGGGAGTAAGCAACTACACAAAAATGTTCTGCACAAAGCTGAAGGTAGCTTAGGAACGCAATATCCTCAGAGCCTTGACTTCAACTTCCCCTCCGGAAACTTCCCTGGTTGGCTATTCACCTTTCTCTGAATGGTTTCTCCTTATTCTCCAGTCCCTGAAAATAACGAAGCAGGACCTGGCTGATTAATGAAAATAAAAAGAGTCTTAGCTTTCTCTAACCCAGTGGTGCACTCAAACTCTTCAATGGAAAGGAAAATGCTGTCCATTATACAACCTGGTCAGCACTTGTCAGGTACAAAACTCCTACACCACCTACCCAAACTATCACAGCACACAGGCACTTAGTAAATAAACACAAATCTTTTACCCTTTAGCACATCAGTGAAACCAAAGGTTTCTAGGCACCTAACTATTACGCGGTTTTTCTATTACACAAGAACAAAATCAAGTAAAAACGGGTCTCATCTTTTCAAAGTGGACATGAAAGTGGATTTTCAAGCAATGAAAGATGGAAACTGAATCCAAGACTCCGTCAAGAGAGAAAACGATTTCTGGAATTTCCTACTTTTAGGGACAAAAGAACTTACAAATTCAATACACATTTCTCTTAACAAAGAACTCCTCTGCTGCACCCCCACCCGGGCCCCTACTTTGCAGGTTCTACCCTTGTTTCTAGGGCCCCCTTCACTCACCATGGTTCCTTATCTTCTGCATCAAAGGCCTCTCCACTGGATTCTTCACTACAGCATTTGTGCCCTGGCCCTTCCAGACCTTCTGGGGCACCTCAGGGCAAATACATATGCAGTCCCCACCCCTGTGCAGCCCACCACGGTTCTACACCCATCAGGGCTCTCCCAGCTTCCCTTCTCTTACTCCCCATTCCATCCTTTAAATCCCAGGGCCCACCTCTTCCTTGCTCATCTTCTCAGGCTGCTTTTCAGTCAATCTTTCCACTCCACTCTGTCTCCCTCACTTTGCAGAATTTACACCCATCAGCCAGCTATTGGCCTACACCTTGTGGATCCCACCCCAGCCGATCCCAGCCCCTCAGCTCATCCCTGGCTCGGCACTAGTTCACACCCTTGTCACGTCTGGCTCTTAATCACTCTCTCTCCTACTCCCAACTATTACGCGGTTCTGCTCCTTGTCTTCCACTTACAACTCTTCTGCCCCTGGCACCCCTCACCCCAACACCACCCACCTGCCAAGCCTTGTCTCTTCCAGACCCCTGCTCCTAGCCCTGACCCCGGATCCCTCTTCCCAGCCCCGGGCTTCCTAACCTCATCCCGGGGACAGCCTGGGTTTCCTTTTCTCTCCTCTTCCCGGCTCCTAACCCTTTCTCCTAATCCTCATCTCAAACTCGGCACCCGCTGCCCCCGCCGCCTGCCTTCCCCTCTC